TAGAAATTCGTTTGATAACAACATAAAATTTCTCCTTTTCGGGCGGCTGGTGGAGGACGGCGGGTGGCGGTGGGGGGCGGAGGAAGGTGGCCGGCAGTGGGAGGAGGCCGGCCGGTGGCGACGGATGGCGGCGGTGGCGGAGGAGGCTGCGGGCGGTGGGAGGCGGTCGCGGCGGGCGGCGGTCGGCGTCGGGTGGTGGAGCACGGCGGTTGGCGGCGAATAGCGGCGGCGGTTGCCGGGGCGGAGGCGGTCGGCGTCGAAGCGGTGGAGCACGGCGGGCGGTGGAAGGACAGCGATCGTTGGTGGGCGGCCGGCGGTGGAGGGCGTCGGCGTCGGGCGGTGGAGCACGGCGGCGGGTTGCGGAGGACGGCGGCCGGTGGCGGGTGACGACCGGCGTCGGGCGATGGAGGACGGTGGTCGGCGGCAAGAGGCAGCCGTCGGGCGGCGGAGGATGGTGGTCAGCGGCAAGAGGCGGCCAACGGGCGGGAGGCAGCCGACGGCGGCGAAGGACGGCGGGAGGCGGCGAAGGACGGCGGGAGGCGGCGGTGGGCGGGTTGCGGCCAACGTTGGACGGTGGCGAATGACGAAGGATGACGGTGGGAGGAGGCAGTCGGCGAAGGACGTCGGCGGTAGGCGGCCGGTGGCGGGAGGCAGTCGACGAGAGGCAGTCGACGGCAATAGTGAGTAGCAAGGGGGTAACCGGTTAGTAGCGAGGGCAAGCGATAAGAAGAGTTTTTATTTCTCATTTCTATTCCAGAAATAGAAAAGTAATTTTTTTTTACTTCTGATTTCTGTTCCAAACCTATTTCTGGAATAGAAATTTGTTCCAGAAATAGAAAAATGAAATTGCGTTACCAAACGGATTTCTGTTCCAAACCTGTTCCTGGGAACAGAAAATTAGAAAAACAGAGAAATATAAATGTTACCATGCGCGCCTTAAGTTTCCAGACTCCTAAACTCTTTTAATTTGGGCCCGTTCATTTCTTTTTTCTCTTTTCTTGTTAGAACGGACGGATCTTTTGATTCAGAAGACTCAAAAGCAACGTCCAGTTGTGTTTGCGAGAAGCAAAGGTCATTTCCCTTTGCTAATGTGTTATTTGCGCATGCGATCGCGGTTAGCCACGTTAAATGTCGCATGAGCATGTAAGAACGTAAATCAAGTAAAAAGTGTTTGTGTATTTTCTCGCACCGTTTGAAAAGTGGAGATATTTTTGTCCCCGCGAGTACAACTTGATGCATTTTTTTTGGCTTTAGTTTTGGCCTTGGCACACATGAAAGGATCCGTCGAGTCACGCATTTAGCCCTTCGCGCATTTTAGCGACTACATATGATGTACCTAGGGGACCAGCGGACCCGTTATGCGACTAGACGAACCGACGGGCTCAAAGTCAACGATCTCGGATTAAGCTCAAATTTAGTCGGCTGAAGCGAAACGGCGTGCTGATCAATACTCACGCCGTTGGCCGTGACTAACGATGGATTTTCGCGATTCGGGGTCGTTTAGATGGATTTTTCTATTATTTTAGTATTTTTTATGGGTTAATTTAGTAAAGGGCAGTTTCGCAATTTTGCGCTTTTGATGTTTATTAATCCTGGTAGGGTTAGGTTTGGGGATATATAAGCTTGTTTTAGGGTTTCGTTTAAGCAGACTTTGGATATTTTGATTGTTAACCAATTGAGAGAACAGTTTGTTCCTCGTTATCGTTTCGATTCTCCTATTTAACCTAATTTCTTTCGCGCTTCGGCATCAACATATAAGCTCTTTCTATATAATGTATAATACAGATTGGCTATATTTTTCTCTAATCACTGTTTCGATCGATATAATACAGCCATGAACATCACCCACATGTACACGTCCAGCTAGTTCTCCACGTGGGCGACGTCCCTAACATATGACCCCCGCCAGTCGTTAATCGCCAATCGAAACCGAACGATGCCCCTTCTGTCGGGACGGGGCTAGCATGTTATCTACTCATAAATTAATTATGCCATTCTTTTTATTTATGCATATACGTGCGTACGTGTAATGTTCCTTTTACCTTTCAAGAAGTGGACCAACGACCGAGAAACGGCGACTGCGTTTTTGCATTTCTTGTTGGGTTGAAACTGCACGTGGGAGGCTAACCCCTCTTTCCAGGTACAAAATGGCTGAGAACCTGCGCGGTGTGGGGGGGAAGGAAGTGTGTGGCGTTGTACTTTCTAGAGAGGATGCTGAAATTTCAGCGGACGTTGGAACTGAACTTTACCGACTCACACGAGAGGCGAAACCGAAACGCAACTCGGACAAAGGCTCCCGATGGGAGGAGGCGAGAAAGTTCCGCACGAGCGCGCCTTTTTGTCGCGAAGCCCCTCGCAGCACCCGCACCCGTAATTTCGCTCCAAGGAACAATAAATTCGGCGAAACCGACGCACAAATTGTTGGAAATATGGGATAAATTGATGGGCGAATGAATGAGAAATTGATGCTCAAAGAACACCCTTGAGTTGGAAGTGGGAAGTGGAAAAACACGAGTCCCACATTGGAAAAGAAAGAAGGCTATGGAGTGCTTTATATACAGTTACACTCATTTGAAGTGGCAACTATCATAGCACAAACACTATGCCTCGTGCGCAGGCGCAGGGGTGCAAATCCGACGCCCAACAAGCTGAAACTTGGGCGCGAGCACACATCCCGTGTACACGATTGCAGGACCGAAAAGTGGTCCTCGCGACGAGCCCAATTTTTCCTTCTGATTTATTTTTTCAACTCAAACTGTTACGAATTTCGTAACTAACGTGCGGCAGATTTAATCGTCCGTTATTCGTATTGATTTTGTAACGGCAGATTTAATCGTCCGTTATTCGTATTGATTTTGTAACGACAGATTTAATCAGCCGTTATTGCTCTCCCATTCTATTTTTATCGAAATCATTCTTCCTCTTTTTATTTTTTTTTCTCTGCATCTGCACTGTTTTCGGTAGTGTTCGTTTCGAGTTTGTTCAAGTTCGCCGGAAGCTTGGAAGTGCCGTGATCTCTTCTTCGCTGTCAACCGTTGTATTCTGGGAGATAGACGTTCACGAAACCTCAATCGCGTACTAGAGGGAACGAATCTGTTTTAAAGAAACTGTGTCAAACACAGGCCTCAGTATTCATTTGTATCGATTCCAACTTTGTTATTGCAATTTCGTTTCTTTACAATTCTGTATTGTTTGTAATATTTATACTGATGCCGATTTGAATTATGCAACACAAATAAATAAGGCAAAAGATATCAAAAGTCCTAAATTATGTTCGACACATTACCTAAAATCTCAAACTTATATCTGTGCAGCATATTTACTCTCTGTCAAAATTTTGTTAACGAGAACCGTTCAAATTCTGCCTACATGGACATTAGAAAGCAAATAGTGTTGACACGGCGCAAAAACGACGTTGTTTTTGCTGATAAATCATCTAACGGAACCTTAATGAATGAATGTGTCACATAGATATAAATTTGATGATTTTTCTGTCACGAGAAAAAATTCAAGATAAATGTGTCACAAATGGACATAGTTTGTTGAGGGGGGGTTTTGTGACTTTTTTCCTAATAAATAAAATAGAATAGAATAGAATAAATTCTCGAAGCAAAGATATAAATGACGTCATTTTTCCCCGGGTAGCGTACAGAAGAGAACCGGTCCACTTTGCTTCTAGTTACTTGCGCACACCCTCGGGAGCGAGCTGAGTCAACCGCTTGACCTTTGACTTTGAACCGTCGCCGCGGAGCGAAGGGAAAAGTAAGACCGGGCGACCGGGTTTTACCCGCCCCTCCTCACTCCTCCAAGCTCCGCTGATTAACACGCGCTAATCGCGGTAAAAACCACTCTAATTACACGTGATTAGCAGTGATCCACGTGGGCGGCCCCGCCGCAGTTTCGAAGGGCGGAGATCGAGCCAGCTCGTAATGGGGTGTGGGGTGGTGGCGACGGCGCCGGCGCGGCGGCAGCTGGTGGGGAATCTTCCGAACCGCGTTGGGGAGGGGGGGCGTGGCGGTTGGGGAGACTCGGTATGCCCTTGTTGACTTGGAACCCCTCACTCTTTCTCTATCTCTCTTGGGTTTGACCCACTCGCTCTTTGGAATAGAGAAACATATGGCAAGTCCTCCTCCTCCCCCACGTTCGATCTCAATTAAACTACGATGGCCCCCCTCCCTATCACATAAAGAAAAAAGGAGGGTACAAAACTAAATGTCAGTTGCGGACTCAGCGAAATTTCGCCGGGGGACAATCGGCGCGTGGATTCTTATGGAGGCCACTGTTATCGGACACGTCCCTCTCATTCTCGAACGCGCATCTGAAACCCCGTTTGTTATACGCCTAGTTGCAGCACACGAGCGGGGTCGCTCACCGTCGATTTGAGACCGACCCCTTGAATCGGCGGATGACAAGGCTACAGATGTAAATATTTTTTTCACATCGGGCCGGTGCCTGCTCTGGTTTTTCTTGTTACACACCCCCCCCGCCCTCAATAGACTTTAGCCAATTCTTTGGTCATCCACCAAACTCTAAGCTCTCACCGCCTAAATTTCACCAACCCAAAAAACACCCATCCCCCTATTATTTTTTTTAATATATATATATATTCTTTTGCCTTCTTTCTCTTTATGGCTGTAATTTTTTCAAAATTTTGTTTTGGTTGGCCCAATCCCAAAAACAGGGAATTAAAGAAGAAGGAGAAGAAGGAGGAGGAGGAGGAGGGGGTGTCCAGTGTCCACACACTTAATAGTACATGCCAACTCGCTCACGAAGAAAAACCCGAATAAGAAACGCAAAACACGCGCACACAACACACGCACACAAAGCTTTCCCCTCACTTCACTCCCTCCTCCTCCTTCCCTCCACTTGTCACGCAACTTCCTCCTTCTCCCTCTCCCTCTCTCTCTCTCTCTTCCCCTCCTCCGCCTAATATAAAAAGCCCACGAGACCTCACTTCACTCCTTCACTGCCATCCCAAGAAGAAGAAACCCACCCTTTCTCTCTCTACACGCCATCCCCACCCAACACTCTCTCTCGTCTCCTCCGCCATGGCCTTGGAAGCCCTCAGCTCTCCGACGACCCCCTCCCCTCCCTTCCACTTCATGAAGGACCCCTCCTCCGCCTCCGCCTCCGCCTCCGCCTCCGCCGCCGCGTCCTCCTCGTCCTCCGCCGCCTACGACGTCCGCTTCGCCGAGCCCTGGGCCAAGCGCAAGCGCTCCAAGCGCCCCCACAACCCCCCCACCGAGGACGAGTACCTCGCCCTCTGCCTCATCATGCTCGCCCGCGGCGGCGCCGGCCGGAGGAGCCTCCCGTCGCCGCCCCCGCCTCCCCCGGCGGCGGCGACCTACAAGTGCCCCGTCTGCGACAAGGCCTTCTCCTCTTACCAGGCCCTGGGCGGCCACAAGGCCAGCCACCGCAAGCTCGCGTCCGCGGCGGGGGATGACCAGCAGCCGACCACGTCGACCTCCGCGGCGACGACCTCCTCAGGCGTGTCCGAGAAGTCGCACGAGTGCTCCATCTGCCACAAGAGCTTCCCTACCGGCCAGGCTCTCGGCGGTCACAAGCGGTGCCACTACGAGGCCCCCGCCACCTCCGCCCCCTCCGCCCACGCCCCGGCGCCGGCCGCCAGCGGGGTGAGCGTGTCGGAAGGCGTGGGGTCCACGCACACGCAGAGCCAGGGTCACCGCGAGTTCGACCTCAACATCCCGGCCCTCCCGGAGTTCTCCCCCAGGTTCGTGGTCTCCGGCGCCGCCGCCGACGACGAGGTGGAGAGCCCGCACCCCTCCAAGAAGCCCCGGTTCTTGGCGCCGGTGAAGGCGGAAGCGGCGGCGGCCTGAGAAATGGGTCTGATCGGAAGCACACAAAAACCGAAAAGATCGGCACGATCGGCGAAACGGAATCCGATCGAGCTCCAGATAGTATAGTATAGTATAGAATTAGAGGTATACTTTTACAGAAACGATTGCTTTGTTCATCTGTTCTCTTTGTTTGTAGGGTGGTTGATGATGGTGGACTAGTTCTTTTGGTGGGGTGGGTGGAGTGTACATACAGATTCAACTACAGGAGTTTTGCTTTAGTTGTCTCAGTTGGTTACGCAGGGGGCAAATTTCATTCATTCGATTGGTGGAATTCGATTCGATTCATTCGATTTCAATAATCGCCCCCCCCCCCCCACTTTGCCCTTCCCACGTTTTGATTTTGCGCACTAGAATATTGTGAATTCCAGTTCGATACAAACGGCGAAGAAAGTACGAAACTTCCCAAGTGGGGTTGGGTCCCAGTTAGTTTGGTCAGTTGGGCTGAACAGGTCGTTTCTCTTGACGGCTCGAGCAAAACGAACGAACGAAGCGTGCGAACTCCCCCCCACTTGCGGGCAGCGCCGTTTCTGGCGGGCGGCCTCGAGCACGAGGTGGCGGTGGAGAGCCCCCCCCCCCCCCCCTCCCCGAACCCGTCGAAAGCAGCCCCGAATCTCGGCGACCGCCCGCGAAGGCCGGAACCGGATTGGAGTCGCTTACGCAGCCCGGTTTCGTTGATTTGACTGGTCGAATTCAATCCGTTCCATTTCGATGATCTTGGCCGACTTGGCTCGCACGTTTCTTGATTTTTCCGGTATTGAAAAATATTGCTATAGTTTACGCGCGCGAGCTGGTTGATTTCCAGTACACGATCAGTTGAGCAATCAGCAGCTGGACAAAGTCGTTGCCTTAAACGGTTCAAGCAAAACCGCAGCGTGTGAATGTGAACGCTGGACCCGGTCATTCCCCGTACGCGCATGGGCATTGCAAGGGACCGTTCAAGACAACAGCTCGTGGTGCCTACGACGACGACGACGACCCAACCGTCATCTGGTATGACCCGAAAACGGGTTGCATTCGAAGCATCTCATTTTGGGTCGGCTATGACCCACCGAAGTGAACATGGGTTTTACTTCCCCGTTTTGTCAATTAGAGCTCCGTGGAAAATGAATGATTCGAAAAGCATTTTTGTACAAAAATAATGATTTATATCTCTTACTAAGTGAATGATTGCAATAAATTGTTATTGATACTGAAAGCATTTGTCATTAGCTAATTATTTTAAGCATTATAAATGATCATTTTTAAGAAAATATTTCTTAAATTACTCATGTTTTGCAAAACAAACATAACGGAGGAGTGATTTTTGGTGAGAATCCATTCTCAAGCTTGAGATATGGGGTCATCGAAGAAAGATGGGATTTTGCAAGTTTGAATCCTCCCAACTTAACCAAGCACGTGTGGACTTTAATTTACTCCCTCACATTATGACACGTCAGGTTGATTAGAGGATCTGATCATGGAAATCTTGGTGATAATTAGGCATCTCATCGACTTCTTGTTTTCCAATGATATGTTAATGGTCATGGACACAATTTATTGAATTTTGAACGACCTATTCACCAAATGATTTTTCCAATCTTGGTGATAATTATGCATCTCAACGACCTATTCACCAAATAATTTTTCCAATCTAGTTTGAAATAACTCGTTTTTTTCTCCTATTTCTCTCTTTCAAACTTTTTATTTTGTCTCTTTCTAGAAAGTGTGAGTCGAACCCTATGCCTGAAACTAATCGTCCTTACCCCATCTCACCCAATTCCCTTTGTATCCATCCTATGGAAAAATGAAAACAAATTAATTACCCAAAGTAGACTTTACTTGTTCATGGTAAATCATCTCAGTTTTAGCAAATAAATTTGACTAACAATGATCAATCAGTAGTAAACTTTATTCATTCGTAATAAACCTTATTTATTCTTGGTAAACTTTTTTGTTCCGATTAATGTTACTCGAATAATCGCCTTATCAAATATTTATATTTCTTACTTGCATTGGATCATCTTTAATGAATAAAGAAGGGAGAGAGGTTAATGAGCAGGGGTACAACCACCCTACCACCATCGATGCCTCATGTGTGGATTGAGGACCCCGTCGGAGTAGCGGAGAGGGACACTTGAGGGGGTAGCGCGGCCTTCTCCAGCTGCGGGCGAGGTCATACTCTACCCATGCCACAAACCAGACAAGGGCCACGAGACCCGCTCACCGCCCACGGGAAGGGTCGCAACACCCTTTCTGGCTACCGCCAGGGTCATGTAACCCTTGCCAAATATGTGGCCAGGGTCGCGCTCTACCCTCATCGCTACTCCAATGGGGATCCTCCATCCCGATAGCAACTTGCCTCATATATATTTTTATTTTTCAACTCTAATTTTTTTAAATTTTTTAAGCATTTTTTTACTTATCTATCTTATTTTGGCTTTTTTCAGCTTGTTAATTAAACATTATTTGATTTGAATAATTTTTGTTAATATTACACTCAAAATTTGTGACGAGTTATATAAGTTATAGTATAAAAAGGACAGTGATTTTTATTCTTTATTCTCTTAAACAAACTATAGTCCTTGCATGAAATGTGGAAACTTTATATTTAAAAAGTCATATGTAGAGATAAAAGGCATGTGTCAATAATAACTTCCTTGCTAACAGCCTCCATTGCTCCTTAAAGATGGTTGAAAAAGACTTAAAAACGAACACTTAAAAAAATTAGAAAGAAAAGGAGCAATCAAAGCGAACATCTTTAACATTTTGAAAAATTAAATCAAAGGGAAAATACCACAAAAAATCCCAAACTATGCCACTTGTGACAAATTGACCCTGAACTTTTTTTTGCGACACGAAAAACCTCAAACTATGTCACTTGTGACACATTTACTCCACAATACTTTTCTCAAGGGCATTTTCATCTTTTTCCTTTTATTATTTTTTTTTCCTTTTTTTTTTCTTTCTTCTCTCTTCCCTCCGCTAGCCATGGCGGAGGGAAGCCGGCGAGGGTGGCCCTCGCCGGCGTCAGGCGAGGGTCACCATCGCCTAGGCAGGAAAGGGTCGCCCTCGCCCGACTCAGGTGAGGGCTGCCCTCGCCGGTTTCCCTCCGCCATAGCCGGCCGAGGGAAAAGAGAAGAAAGAAAAAAAAAAGGAAAAAAAAACTGAAAAATGAAAAAGACGAAAATGCCCTTGGGCAACAGTATTATGGGGTAAATGTGTCACAAGTGGCATAGTTTGGGGTTTTTGGTGGTGTTTTCCCTAAATCAAACTAAGAAAGGAAACTATCGAAAATTCATATATTGTATGAAATATTTATGGAAATTAAATAGGGAATTATCATCACATAAAAGGCAAAGAAATGTTTTTAATGCCTATCAAATTTTGATTGACCAATTTAAATTTCGAATTTAATAGTAGAAACAAAATTAATGTTGATATTCAATAAACGATTATGCAAATAATCAATATTTGCAGAGGTGATTTGATGTCTAGGTGGCGGCTATTATTATGGAGAAAGTATTAAAATCTTTCTTATAATGAAGAGATAATTAGAAGATAAAAAGAATCAAGAAGTTTAAATCGCAACCGGCCTTGAAAAACTTGTGGAGAGGGAACTCTTATTGGAAACTCAACCAACTACGTATTCTCTTTGATTGAGTACTTTTCCAAGGATGCTCATCTAAGACTTAAAAAAAGGGTGAAATTAAGTCAAGCTACTCGTGAGTAACTCAAGCTCCGGTTAATGGTTACTTGAAATCAACTTATTTGATTTCGAATCAAGTCGAGCCCGAGCTACTTGAGTATGTTATCTACTCGTGCTCGAGTTTGTTGATGCTTCGCCCGACAGGCTTGCGAGCCTGATCGAGTTTCTGTTTGTTTTTTCAAAAATGTAAAATATACCCACACTATTCGAACTTTTGTAAGATCAAGGTCAAGCTCGAGTTCCTTCACGAGTGATTGATAATTGAGATGAACTCGAGCATAAATGTTACAACTGGTTCTAGTTCGATCAAGTTTTGAGTATCGAGTTTGCAAGCTGAGTCGAGCTCAGTTGTATGAGCTCGATTCAACTCGAGTACATATCTAATCTAGACAAGCACATTTCCTATTACTTTTCGTCTACTCACGAGAGGGGAAACTATTTTTCATACCGACATTTTCTCCTCCACAATTCAAAAATTATGATAAGAAGCTCGTACCATCGCAACTGAAACTTATCTTGCCGCCCTGATTGCATTTCATCAACGCGACGATACTCCACCAAAATAGAAAGTGGCCTAACCAGACACAGTAGAAGATTGTGAGAGCCATGAGCAAATGCATGATTTAGGTGGGCTCCTAATCTGTGTACATTACACATGGGAGGGCCAAACAAATTGCTCACTTATGCACCTATTGCTGGTCACCCATACTCATACCCACTTTGATTCTTGACCATAAAATGACACTACAAAGTGGTTCAATGAACACCTAATCACAGAAAGTTCAATTTTCTCCTTTTCTAATAAGGTCTCCCCTGTCCAGCTCAAATGAACAGGACGACCCCCACTTTTTCAATGGCCAAGACTTGAACACATGTGGCTTGGTGAGCCAAGGAGAGGCTGCTAGCACAAGTCAAAATGCTGCATTCAACAGCTCAGTGGCGCAATTTGGCCAACAGAAGAAACCACAGTGGCATCATTGTATTATAAATATCACTTGGTCGGCCAAGAAAAGAGAAAAAAACCAGCTACTTTTCTAGTAGAAGTCGGCAATTTGGGTTGGCTTCGGTAGGCCACAGGACGGCAAATGAAAAGTGAGAAGATGTTAATGTGACCAAATTCTTTTCATCTTCTTATACTTAGACCACGTACCGTGTTCTGAACTTTAAACCGCTGATTCTATCTTGAATTTTAGCAGTCGGTTGTATCTGGACGCTCGGATTTAGATAGTAGACGAGTAGAATGGGATTTGATGACCAATTTTATCTTCGTTTGGTTACATTGAAAGCCATTACTTTTCTTTCTCACATTAGTAGAAATCTAGTTATCTTTATTTTTGCTCTTTATTCATTTGATGCGATAGCTATTATTTTATGGGCAGGCATGTAGATGGGGGGCCAAGCAGGGGGCGACCGCCTTCGCTCAAAAGTTGCGATTAGGAGGGCCTTGTGACCTATCAATACAGGTTAGGAATGTAAGCCTTATAAATGAAAAAGGTCCAATCACCTTTTGTGTAAAAGGAGTTTCTTATCAATTTGTACCTTTTTTTGTTTTATTTTGTTTATTTATTTGTTGTAAGGATCTCATCTTCTTTCAAAAAAAAAATTTGAGATGATAAGTGAATAGTATCAGATACTAACTCTAGATAGCTCCTTTATTTATTTTGAGCAATTTGTGTACTCTTTTTGCCAGCTTTATATTAGAAATTTGTCATCTTAGAGGAATTTTTTTAAGATCAAGAAACTTGTTGTTTAAGTGATCATGGAAAAAAAGAACATCATCAAATTCTCTTTAAAAAATGTGGACTGTCAAAGTTTAGAGGCTAATACATCAAATCCAACCTTTTTTTTAAATAATTTATTAATTTGTTGAGTCAATTTCATTTGAGATATCCATTAATACCAAACATTAATTAACATCTTAGTTACATGGTAGTCATGAGTGTTATCGTGACTCCATCACTCAAACATTAATTAGGGTTTCACAAATCTTAATTAATGTTTTGGGTTTCATACCAAACATTAATTAACATTAATTAACATCTTATTTTGTCCTCCTCTCACTCAAAAATCGTGACTCTGTCACTCTTCATGAGTGTTATCGTTTTGAAGTTTCACATATGTGACTATACCGTTTTTTTTTTTGGGTCGGAGCCTACACCGGTTTAGTAGCCATGAAAGCAATTGAAATAACATTTTCGAATCAGGGTAAACTTGAAATTTTCAGAAAAGCAAGAAGGGGAAGAGGATTAGGAAAATCTGTAAAAAGATCCCTTTTCTTTTCTTTCTTTCTTTCTTTCTTCAGATAATTAGGCCTACTATTCTTCATCTCCTTTTGACAACATCTTTGTTTATACTGTAGGAAGGTGCAACTCCATATCTAAAACGGCAAGAGAGATTCCCACTACGCTAGGAACCTTCTTAATAAGATCAGATTGGGGCCAAGTTCTCTGCACCCTTTGACCGTACGTCAAGACTGACCGACGCTCAGAAACTGCTGTCTTCTGGTTTGGTGGGCTGAAGCTGAACGCACGTTTTCCACGTCAAAAAATACGCACACATCCACAAAAAAAAAAAAATCTTAATAATCTGAAAAATCTACCTTTATGAGCTATATGTGAGCTAAGATTATATATATTATGATTTTGTTTTCACTTTAGACAATATATATATATTTTTTAAGTTTTGGCAAGAAGTTACATTAATTAAGTAGAAGAAAACTGTTTGGTTTGTCAGCTGCACTGTACAGTAGTAGGACAAGAAAATAACACCAGGATTATCAGATGATTATCACTTTGTAAATTGATACAACAAATTCCAAACAAGACTTGATCAAAACAACTTCATAAATTGATTTATCTTCGTATTCTCCTAATCCAAACTGAAGTGTTTTCGGCCTCTGCAAACCAAGGCCATTAAGCCTTACAGGAGGTTTGTATCTGATTATCAGTCCAGAGAGCACCTTTCCTTAGTCGGCTTTACACGGTCGACCTCATGAAATGTCGATATATAGGAACGCTTGAAAGCAGACACATCACGTAAGAACGACCCAAACCGGTAGCCAAAATTTGATTGATGACCACATGTATGCATCTGAAGGCTATCGACCGACGAAGATGTAGTATGAAAGATCTTGTTCATGTCGATGATTCTATAACATTCCAAAAGGCAATCAGAAAGATTAAGGTAAATGTGATTCTATGGCCTCGGTCAAGGCGACCCTATGAACTGATTAGAACAGCTAACACGATTGGAGATTGCCTCCAAAGAATATAGACACAAGCTTTTAGGACTGAAACTTCCCAATGGACTACTATATATGCTTTACAAAACATGCCGGAGATCGATGCGGCAAGTACACTAGAGAGCAGAAAAAGAAGCAAACGGACCCCAAGTCTGCATTTCTTCTCCATTCTTATTCTGTTCCCAGGCTAGCTCTAAGAAAACGAAAGGAAACATCACTTATATACACTTCCTTGAAACCTATAGAAAATCCGTGTAGAACCTAGACTAGATGTTGAAACCACGGTCCTTGCTTTGGCACGCTCATAATGCCCATCGCCGCATGCCTTCTCCTTCCCATGGATCATCATCCCAAAGAAAGACCAAAGTTATGCTCTCTGGTTAAGACCAAAGTTATGCTCTCTGGTTTCAGAAGCCAAAACGGAATGTCCCATGCTGTTTTTACCCCCCCAAATTGCCGAATCGAAGTATAGTACCGTTATTAGATGTTGTTAGCTTTAAACAGTATCAGCATCATGTTTCCACCGTAAAGCTTGAGGCTGAGGGTGTGCATTGCACTTGTAAAAGGTGGGTTCTCAGGCTGCTTTCGTTTACCTGGCAATTGACAAAATAAGTCAGTACCGGCTAGTTTCAAAAAACAGGACGAGGGCAAGGAAACCACAGGACTAACTCATGGTTGGTCTCTCTCTCTCTCTCTCTCTCTCTCTCTCTTTCTCTCTCTTCTCCATTATTATTGTTATTACAACCGCTACTATAAGTTCCCCAAGGGGCTTGGGACACAACACTAATTCGACTCCAGCATCATCATCAATGCAGTTTCAACTCCAGATTCCATATTTAGGAAATAAAATAATATCGAATAACATTACCTGCATGGCAGCAATCATTGACAAGAGATCTCTGCATTGATCCAACACAGCATGCTCTTGTGATGAAACCCTCGCAAGTTCAGCCATAAGATTGTAAACATCCCCAACCTATTAACACAATTTCATAATAGAACAAATGAGCATGAAAACAATGATAACGTCCATAGTTATTTTATGAGTTACTGAATGGTTGGTTTCACATGGATTTTATCTAAGATGAAGGCCCGTGCAGATGATGTCTGAGAAATAGCAATAGTAGAAAACCAGCCAATGACAGTGAGTGGGGCAAAACTCATTGGAGCATTTCCCAGGCATATACTTGAGAAAAGCTCACCGAGTTTCTTAAAAGAGGCATTCAATCGGCTCTGCCAACATATAGAGTTGAGTAGGCATCCCTAACTATCGGAGAAAATATATATAGTTACTAAGAAGAGATCGATAAATAAGTGCCCAACTAAATGAGCCAAAATAGATTATATAGGTGAAATGGTATTGGTGGCCCCTCTACTTTTACCCGATATTCAAACCGACATTCTATTTCTTTTTGTTCAAAATGGTCCTAGTACTATTTAAAGAGTGCTATTGTTCTTCCTTGTGCTATTCCTGCAACGGATTTTGCTGATATGGATTTGACGCTGTCACAAATTACTAACAAGCGCTTTTTTCAAAAAAAAATGAAAAATGAAAAAGCTCACTTGGATTTGACCTGGATTTATGGACTTCTTTTCTTTTTCATTTTTGCGAAAGCCAAAAAATAAAAAAGAATTGTAGAGCTGCATACCCTAGGCAGCCCCACCATTGGCATCGCTGAGTGACTGTGTCATAGTGGTCGCACAACTCAGGCGACCGCCGCGTGGTGGTTGCCTCAGATTTCCACCGACGTTGTGCCCCCCTGTTTGTGTGATTTGAGACCAGCATAACTGTGGTTGCTGTTGACAGGCGACACACCGCGACGTTGGTCAGCCTTGACAGGTGACCATCGTCGGATGACCGCCTCGCAACCGACATCTAGATGTAGGATCTCAATCTGCTCTGCTACTGTCTCGGTGGTTGACAACTGCAATAGACGCGATGACCACCAGCATACTGGTCACCGTGGATTGGCAACCAAGATGGTGGTGGTCACTGTCGGGTTGGCAGTACCGCGCCTGTCCACTTTAATCTAACCTTTTGAATCTTTCATTTTTGTGGTCGCATCAGCAACAAATGTACCAAAAAAAGCGCAATAAGTGTTCTCAGATTGCCAACTCAGAAGCCTGGCTGCCGAGTTTGATTGAGCACTAACGGTGACATTTTTAGAAAAGTAAGGGACCATTTTGAACCAACAAAAAAATAGAGGGACGTTTTTAAAGTTTGACAAAATTATAAGGACAGAGAAAGCACTACTAATTGCTGCAGTATTGAACACAAAGAACAAAGAGAATAACAGATTTTCTTTTCAGGTACCAAAAAAAACTCTATGGTGAATTTATGCCTACAAGTAAGCAGAATCCTAACTCTATTACATACAAAATTGAGCTAATCCCACCAACTAAAAGGGGGAACATTGCCCAAAGTAAGATAATATAACACAAAAAACTACAATTTTGTTAAACCATGGTCACAACAAAGTCATAAATTTCTAAAATGTCAACTCACTGCAAGCTACTTAGATTGTAGTTATGTTCTATTCTGATATTTTACGAAGGATTGATTGTTAACGAGTGTCCTAGGGGCACTTGTTATCAACCGATTATAGAAACTTACAGTTTCCAATGCATTAATTGCCTTTATGTTATGCACAATCAGTATCTTGGAAAGTTAAATTATTTCCCATTAAGTATACTTTAACAAGACCCTGCATGAAATAGCAGAATATTCAGAGCAACAAACTCTTATCACAAGAAGTTAGCAACTAGCTAAGAAAATAAGGAGAAGCATATCATGCCACTTCATATAGGAGTACTAGAAAAACACGAATAAGACAGAGATCCGTCAGCACATGAATGCTCTCCCTAAGATAGGTGAAGCACACAAACCCCAACAAAAAATCCTCATTCCCCCCAAATCCTCAAGATTCCCTTCTAACACAAGCATCACCAAACAGAGAATTATATATCAAATTGGAAATTAATATAACTCATTTTTATAAGGAACGAAAGATCACCTCTGAAGAAAACAAGCAGATGGAGGACGCCATGGTCTGCATTACCTCAACTGCTGAAGAAATAGCATTCTTCACTTTCCGGATGTCAACCTGAATATCAAAGAATGTCATTAACCCATATCGATGCCCATTTTAAGCAATGATTCTGTCAGGAGTTAGTAACAAATTTTAGCACATACCCTTGCCCCACCAATGACAGGAAGGCGAAGAGTGCTAGCCTTCAAGGCTTCATTGGCTCCTGACAAAGAATTTGAGTAGTCCTGATCCATTGAAGCCCACTCTTCCAAATATCTAATCTGTTCTCCAGGAGCGTAAACATCAAATTAAAACTTATAGGAGACGGAGGAAAATAACAGTAGACAGATCTTCTCTCCACTCAAGTATACGACAAATGACTATTTCATACTAGAATTCATTTACATTTAAAAGATTTATTCAGTATCCAAAAAGACTCTTAACACAAAAAGCAAAAGTATGAGCTAAAAGTTTAAACAAATAAGCAAATTCAAACACATTTTAAAGTTCACAATACTCAATTCACCCAAGACATTTTTGAAATCTGCACTAATACAACTTCTCCAAGCTAGTCCCTCCACTTTCAAGCTTGATAATGGATCGATATAGGCATGTTTTAATGTAGCAACATCGAAAAAAAAAAAACGGAAGAAAATGTAGCCACATCTGAACCACAACAGTTATTCTACAAGCAGATCTTACTTGTCCATGGACAACAGAGGTTAACTTCAGATTTTGCCTCTGCAACTGTAACTCGATTCTTTTGGTTTTAACAGATTCTCGCAGCTTGAAGATGCTCAACCAGGCATTGTAGATGCTTCTCTGGCAAAATAGAGTATGAAAGGGACATAAGTTCCTCCTTAGTCATTGAACTGTCGAGAAAACCCTAATAGATCTAACACTACTCATAATGAAGTTAAGAATATAGAAGCAAGGTATTGTACAGTTAGGCTAAACGGATGAAGTCATTACTACTAGATCACGTCTCAAGTACACAAGAGGCTGGAAGAATGGTATAGCTCCCTGTCTCCCTATTCCAGGGTGTGTTCAGGAGAACCAACAGATGCACAACACGTGAATTTCTTTAAATTACTCAGTTTCATGCCGTTACATAAATTAATAACAGAACATAGCTTCAGTTTAAGCATCCATGTGAAGTAAAAGTCTAGCACGTACATCTTCAAATGAGTTCCTCATTCAAATCTCATGCCCGTAAAATGCTCAATAGACCTTTGTTTTATTAATGAGACCACAACCATCATATCACCCTAAAAATTGCAAGAGGTAGTAGCATCTTCACGTGAAGCTTTCGGTTTTCTTTTCCCACTGATGCCCCAAGTTTTCCAGTTCCACTGGCAATAATGTTCCCACTCTCAGTAACTTGATGATTATGTCCGCAGTATTCAATTCTTTCTCCATTAATAACTGAGGTATCAAAACAATTTCACTTAAGCTGTTAATTCCAACATCAATAGTCTGTAGCTCCAGTGTCCATCTTCGGATCCATAAAATCGCACATCACCAAGAATCCTTTTGGAAAGCTTCTTATTCCCCTTAAAAGTCATGTCTAACTATTCAAGAATCTAGATAATTGTTTCTTCTTATATCATTCTCTGATCAAATAGGTTTAGTAATATTTAGGACATTCTTTTAGCTATTGATCATCACTTCAATTACCACCAAATTTTATCAGAATTATACCCACATCTTTTCTGTGGTACCAAGTTCATTAGAAGCATATAAGTAACCGTCAGACTCGCTCTAAAATAACAAATCTCCAACATACTTTGCGCATATTTTGACCCGCTCCTCCTGTCAATTAAGAGAGATACTTCACTGCAAAACCACCCAGTACCCTCTCATCAACTGACCTGTTAGATTTAGAAGAAAAATAAGATTTGTAGTCAACTTATTTGCCTGAATGCGCGTGTGCCTATACTATCTAAACTTTATATATAGATAGATTCCCCTGAGTCTCTCAGCAAGATTTTAGCATTACAACCATTTAAACTTCTATATAAGCACCATGCACTCAATCCATGGAGCAATTTCGTGGACCAACCACTCCATTCAAGCTCAAATACTAATCAGCAACCAGTTTGCCTCACATTTTCACAAGTTCAATGCAACCCTTATGATAGTTCCACCCTATATCCAAGTGCCACAATGGGCATTTCATTGTGGAGAATTATGCACACATGTAAAAGAACACTGGTTTGGCTTCGTGGAGATCCAGCCTCACCAAGATTTAAGTCTTGGGTTTGGCTATTGTCTTCCCCTTCCATGTTGATCTCAACTTCAAACAAAAGGAGGTTCTAGGGGCCAAAGAAATCCATACAAAAGCCATCTAGCATCATCAAGCACATCAAATGCCATGTCCCCTGTTTCTTCAATTCATTTTCTTCGAGCTCTCTCTGTACATTGCTTCCATGTAATAAAAATGAAGCTCCAGAAACAAAATTCAGCCCCACCCAAATTCATTTGATGCATGTCTATGGACCCTATACTTCTTATGCATGATAATCAATTAATTTCACTTCCGAAAGTGCTGATAAATAATCTGAAATGACCAATCCAGTACACAAAATTCAGAAAAAACCAAAAGCAAAAAGCTTTTCGAAGTACCTCGCGCACTTCTGATTGAACCTACCAAAACCACTTAGTGACGATGAAATGTGGCATTTCAATGTGTAGATCCAGATTAAAATTTTCACCCTTTTAGGACAAAATTTGGCTTAAGTAGTCATACCTCTGTGTGTAATGTCTGGGCAGACAGTGCTTCATCTGCTCTGGCATTCACAAAACGCCATTGCAAAAGACGGTTGTGCAGCAGTCTCAAACCATGTGCGTCAACCATACGGCTTTCCCCCATCTTCCCTCTCCTAGCCTCAGCAGCAAAACTCAAGAAGGAAGGTATATTACTCGCACTAACATCAAGAGGAGTTCCTGCCACAGCATTCCTCGCCCAAGAGGGGCTTAGTCCTCTAGGGGATGATACTGCCAAATGAGTAAGTTTACTTGGCGATGCTGGTCGAACTGCCCCACGAATGGGAGATGCCTGTCCCCGGCAACTCAAAGGTCCTTTTGGAGAAGAGACTGGGCTATCGAAACCAGGCTTCTTAGGCATGACAAGTTTTGGTGCGGAGCTCATTTTTAGGAAAGGGCTAGTCAACAACGGTGTGCCAACCTCCGGTTGGCGTCTCATCCGGTTAATTGTCTGTTGCCAAAACCTCGCTGGTACCACAACTCCCCTAGGCCCATTCTGTTCTTGTCCACCACCACATTCCTGAACTCCTTTAGTGCTACCAGAAGACACACTCTCACTATCAGAAGAACTACAATCCGTGCGTCCGTTGGATTCAAAACCTGAACTTCTGTGAACGTTAACCTCGTCAGCTTTTCCCAGCCCATGATCACTTGAATCAGAGACAAGTAATCGTCCATCAAGTGAAGCCCTAACATCGATCATCATTGATGTCTGCAATGCCCTAACTACATTCCCCCTTGATCCGCCCGTCCTCCTCCTATCCTCACCGAAATCCACACTCCTGCTCAAGAAATTCTCCTGTCTCGACCTTCCTGGCCACCTCTGCTTCTCTACCGGCTTAGAATTCTCCAACTGATCCCTCCGCGGAGTGGCCGCAGTCACAGGTTTCCGCCTCTCCGGCGTCCCTTTCCTCGTGCTGCTAGGAGCTGGCGAAGACTTCGCTTTGCTGACCGGAAGCGAGTACGACTCTCCCTGGAACGACACGGACAAGCTCCGAGCCGAAGTGACAAGCAACTTCTGCGCCGCAGTCATTTCACCGCCCTTCGAGGCGCCGCCACCGCCCCTCGAATCAGCCGAGCTCGGCCGGTCCGTCGCCGGCCGCCGCCTCTCCGCCGACTGCGAGCGCTTAGCCGCCCCGGAGCCAGGCGTCGCCGCCGCCGCCGCCGTCCTCGAAATCAGAGGCGACGGGCACCTCTTGGAGGAGGAACAAGAGGACGCGGAAGAGGACGTGGACGAAGCAGACGAGGAGGACGTGGTCCTAGTGGAAGAAGCGGAGGACGACGACAAGTAGCGAGAAGTGACCTCCCGGCCCTTAGCTCGGCGAGGAGGGGCGAGCGCATTGTCCGGCTCGGAAGGCAACAGAGGAGGCCTCGAAGGCTTCGCGCGAGCACCACCACCTCCACCACCTCCACCTCCTCCTCCTCGACCCGTCGCCGCCGCCGCCGCCGCCTTATTAGGGTTCACCGGCGTCGACACCGCAGCTACCATCGCGTGCGCCTCGGAGGAATCGCATCCGGCAAGGAAGGCCAAGCAGCTTCCTGCAATTAAACCGCCATTAACAGAGAGCCGAAACGCCATCAACGCGAAGGAATTCGACGAGAATGTCGGCGTCGCTGCAGAAGAGAGAGAGAGAGAGGGGGAGAGAATTGCTCACGAGAATCGAGGCGAAATCGCGTTCTAGAGAGAGAGAGAGAAGCAGCGCCGATCGGAGATGACCGTTACGACTGGCCGGAGAGAGAGAGAGAGAGGGAGAGAGCGTGGGAGAGCTAAGTGGTTTTAGGCGAGTTTTTGAGAGCATAACTGTCGAGTTAAGGAGAGCAATTATGCTGTGCGCGCGTCAGCACCGGGGGCGGGGGGCAAAATGGGGATTTCCGGGGGTGGCGTCCGAGAGCGGCAAGGCGTGTAGGTGAGGGTAGTTTCGGGAAGTTGGGGAAGAGCCGCGCCGGGGGAGTGGGGAGTGGGAAGGGGAAGGGGGGACACGTGGCGGAGACCGTCTGTGGCGGGGCCCGTACGCTCAACGGGACGGGGATGGTCGTCGAGTGGCGTGAAAGCTTCGGAGAGACGTTACGCCATCGGGCAAACGACAAACCGTGTTTTTTGAAAAAAAGCATTAATTATTTTTTCCCTTTAATAAAAAAAAGAGGAGAAAAATCGATGACTTCTTTGGTCGAAATTTTTCGTCAATTTCCTTGTTGCTATATGCCAGTGGTTTCTTCTTCTATTTTGGAAAAGGAAAAGGTCGACCCGATGCAGAGCTCTACGCTACCAAAAAAAAGAAAAAAAAAGCGGGGCTCGATAAAAAAATTTCATATGAAAATTTAATTAATAAATAACTGCTTCTCGTATATGAATATAGCAGCATTATATCTCGAAACCGTTTAATTTATGATATATGAATTTATATTTCGTAATAGAATATGAGTTTTTTAAAGAAGTAAAAAACAAAAAATATTTAGTAAAAAGCTGAGAAAAGAGAGAGTCTAAAAATTTCGGTGCGAAACGAGACCAAGGACTGACTTTTTGCGTCAGATTGGACACCAGCGAAACCGACGGGGGGGCATTTTATCCTCATTAGCTTGTCGTTATATGGGGGATCATTAGCGGATCCCAAATTAAGCAATTTTCGAATGTAATTTCGATTCTTCAGCATTTCAAAAATCCGTTTTATTTCCAGAAAAAAAAGAAGAAGCTTAAAATTTCCCAATTGCAATTGATTGAAGATTGTGGCATATTTTCTAATGGTGATGCAAAATTATCAACACGAATATAATGAGACGTGACACAAGCGCCACCCAATAAAGTGCTTGATGTAAATGCATAATCAAAAACCTCTTTGAAGCCATTATAGCTTAAAGATTCCGAATTTTTTCGATACCGACTCGATCGAAGGTAAGCCGAAAAAATAGTAAAGATACAATGGGGGTCACGATCAAAACACAAGGGGTCACGATCAAAACACAAGGTTTCTTTTGATAACCTAGTGGCATGATTAGTTAAAATCACGAATTTCTTCAAGGACGGAATCTTGAATTGCTGATAGTATCAAGATGAGGCTATTGCTATGGATCATTAAATTGCTTGGCCAAAGAGTCATAGAAACAAAAACTAGGAATTGTAAATGACAAAGCCCCAAATTAAATTTAAAAATTGGAAAAAGTTTCTAGCACCATTATCGAGCAAAGGCAAACAAGCTTCTAGTCTTAGTAAAGAGAAAAGGAAATCTAGGTAACGTGACAAAAAAAATATATTATTATGCTTATGCAAATGAGTAGCTCATTGACTATAATTAACTACCTAATTGCTCAATCCTCTATAGTTTCTTTTCTTTTTAACAAAGATCCACAAGCACAACATTGCAAAAGATATAAAGATAAATTCCACGTTGTAGATTAATATCTCAAATTCATGGATAAAATCATTGCGCATTGAACTTTAAATGGGTGTCAGAATCGGAGATTTCACGTTCGAATCTTTGCAATCCCGAGTGACGTAGTCGAAAAGTACATTAAAATTCAAAGAACTGAGGGTCACTACTAGCATCACCATTAAGCAAAGGCTGAAAGACTTATGGATCTTGGGAAAGAGATAAAGGGAAGCCTCCTCCTTTGCCAATGATGAACTCTACCGCCTTTAATAAAACCCCAAGTCACACCGATTGCTTTTGTGTGTTCAAAGGAACTTTGGTGATTAATCATGATTTAGTTGCAAAGTTACTTCATGCCACACGGTTTTCACTTGATTAGATATCCATCATTGACCGGACAGCAGTTGTGGAAGATTAATTAGAAAAACCAAAAGTGTGGTTTAGCAAGTAATGATGCCTCTTCACCAACCCAAGTCATTCACAGCAACTGCTAACTACCTTCTTTCTTAGGTTGTTTTATTTATCCAATGGTAAATGGTAAGAAAAGCTCTCTTTGTTTAAGGCTAAGATCGATATACTAAAATGGTATACTAAGCAGCGTGAGGCAAATTGATATGTCGATAAGCGAGTCATATTCGACATTCGATCAAAGAAATTGTTGTGCCGTTTAATATGTCAATCTAATGAATCGAAATTAGTGTAGTTAGTATTACTCTAATCTTTTTGAGTTGGCCTTCCACAATTTCCATGATTGACAGGTTGCACGACTTTTTCCCCAATAGCTAAAAAGCTGATTGAGACTAGAGTGGGTGGACATGGCATAACATCAATTATCTGGTTAAAAGTCTACATGTCAAGATCAAACTCCACACTCAGATGCAAGACATGTTGAAGACCATGAATGGAATGGAAGAAAAACATGTTCTTTCCTTCTTGGACACTCAAGGCCAGAGGAGAACAAAAGAAAACCCCGTGTTTTTCTTAAAACAAGCGAAGAAGAAAAGCAAAACCATGCTTTAAAACTCTTTCTTGATCAGGACAAGTTAACTCCTTGCCTGCTGCAGAAGGAATCGAAGCACAAAGACAACACACGATCACTCAACAGCTTACTGAACTTTGGAGCTTTGATTAGTTCAACCGTAAACTAATCCTGCATACCCACAACATAACCAAACCGGATCATTACAGTCATTTCACTTCCAAGACAACCCTTCTGATTAAAGCAGCAATTGAGTGATCATCATTACCTGCCAAGTTGATCGAGAAAGTCGCTCAAAGTTTCCTCCAAGCCCCCTGAGATTTGATCGCCACTGTTTTATTGCCAAAGTGGAAGGGGTTAGCCATCCATCCAGCCCCACTCCTGACCATAAAGAGAGACAACACATCACAGGCCATTGATCTTTATTTAAGCTAGGCCATTAAAATAAGTGGAAAATGAACTAAAGAATTGAAGAAAAAGGGTATCTCTTTCTAGGATGCTCCGTCGCGTGCTGTCTCGTTGTGTGCTCTGGTGAGTTGGGCTGGCCCCCACAAGATAAAGGAGGGTTGAGAGACCTAGTAAGGAGGGGGACCTGTTAATTTTACAGTTCCTTCTTTCTCGTGGTGACTTTATGCACATTCGGGTCCATTTTCCAAAGTTGGGTGGGCACGATTCCGGGGAAGTGTCGAAAGATGCATTGAGTTGAGACTGTGTCAAGCAAAGCAAAGGAGAAAAAAGTCGGATGCTTGCTCAAGGATCAGTTCGTTTTGTGATGGGGTGTAATGCCTAAGGATTTAGAATATACCGTGAGCTGAGTTGCACATGACAAATCACTTTCGTTTCGTATGCCATGGGAAGTGAATCTTCACCACCAAGTTGGTGATCAGTCCCATTATGGTTTTGTTAGTTAAAGGGTGGTTAAGCGATCTCAGTGGCTGACAAAGTCTAGCCAACATGAGCTACAGGTACCTAATAGCACTATAGTTTATTCTGTTCTCTGAAAATTATTTAATCAATGCAAGTGTTTAAGCGCGCGCGACCTTTGAGCATTTAGAGTTTGTGGAGGGCAGTGTTTTGTGTATGTACTCGGTTGCTGGTAATGCAGAAGGCTAGCGTTGTACTAAGGAAGTACAGGCGGCTATAAGATGAAGTAGAGAGATGGTGCTAGAGGAGGAGCAAGCCAAATTATAATGGTTGACATTAAGCCCGCTTGAAAAATGTTAAAAGGGATATTAGATCAGGCATTCCCTTTTAAGCTCCACCCTGAACGACCAAGCCATAATTTTCTTAATTATCGGTATAAAGGCACTCAAAGTGCCAAAAGTTTCATACGGCCCTCACTTTAGTGCCAAAAGTTTATATTTTTTCTGATCACTTAAGTGTCTAATCGGGGTGTTGTCATTCTAATTTTATCGAATTTGTCGGCCATTTATCCGGGCTTTGACTCACGTCTTAGCTAATGCATGAGATTAGTGTAAGGGATTTCATGGGCTCGGGGTTTACATACTTAAGCTAGACTTCCTCGTCATAAAAAAATAACACCGGGATGGTACTATCGATCTCGAGTAAAAGTGCATGGAGGATTGATGCGCACTTCGCATGCACAAAATGTCACAAACATAGTGTGGTGCAAATTAAAGGTTCCTTGTAATAGGAAGCAAGAAGCTGGGAGAGAGGTTCCATTGATGATCAGGAATTCGATGTCAAAAGAAAATCTTAGAATCTGATTCCCATGTGTCCAAGGTGATTTTGCTAAAATATATTTCAATGACCAAAGGGCAAATTCAATGGACACGAACTTTCGTTCCACTAGCGCCAACCATATAGAAAAAGATCGAGCATGCTGCATTGATTATACAACAATTCTTTCCGATTAAGTAGCTATATCATTACTATGATTATGGTACTCGATGTCCCTCTCTCCCCAAACAAAATAACAATGATAATAGACAACCCACCGAAAGAAAGGACATCAATGAACAAGGGCTTACGCTTACCACTTTGACGTGGAGAAACGACCCACCACTGTCCTCCATGTATGTACATTTTACTGCAACTTAGATTATAGAATTGCTGTACTAGGGTTAATAACAAAATGTATTAATGGAAAGAAGTATAAATATTTTATGATGCGAAACAAAATAAAAAAATCCACTTGAGGTGAACAAACCTCGGCGTGTGAAATATCTTGCTAGTCTGGGAGACCAGATCAGAAACGAGGCAAACGTTACATGTATGCTTAAACTATAAAATATACTGTGTAATTATGTCATGCATTCAATCTGTAAACAGAAATTAGTTTTTTGATCATTAAATTAATCCTGAGTTTAGTTAGTTCTTGTTGCAACTGAAGTGCGGGAGTCGGTAATTAAAGCGAGCGACGACGTATTTGGATAGCTTTTTACTTTTTACCATTTACATAATATAGATCGTGCTACAGATACATTTTGACTTTTTCTTAACTCTTAACACCTGAGATATTTTCAAAAACACATATTTTGACTTGTAAATTCATATCTAATATTTTCCTAATATTTGACGGAAAAGCAATAAGTTGCTGAAGCAAAAACAACATGCGAATAAATCAAAGCGGGGTATCCCCATGTTGAGAAGATCATACAAGATTCGAATTGAACGTGCGTGTTCTCTGCACGGTGCCCCTCTTTTCATCATTAAAAATCATTCATTTCCTATGTACATGTTGTCTAGGGTATGGCCAAAAGTTGTATGTCAATACATTTATTAAGGTTGCGTTTGTTTCATAAAAAATAAATTATTTAGAAAATATTTTCTAAAAAATATCGCTTGCATCGCTTACAAAAATAAATGAACGGAAAATATTTTCATCCCCACAAAAATGCTTAGGCATAAATTGTTATCGAGGGTAAAGTGTAAAAAAAAGTCTTAAACCTATTGCATTTGTGCCAATCTAGTCCTAAATCTTTTGACCTAGAGCCAATTTAGGATGCATTTGGTTGGACTTTTGGGGAAAGCATTTGGGAAAATGCAAAGGATTTTAAGTTAAAGGAGTTTTCCGAAATGCAAATTATGTTTGTTAAATTATAACTTTAAAGTCCTTTGTAAAGCATCTTTGGGTAAAATGGTGTTTGGAAAAATTATTCTTATAAAGGACTTTTCTTATTTTTATCAAAAAAACAAATAAAAAACTCAAACCCTTTGCCGGTTTCGATGAAGGGCAGGCGACTGCCAGTAACCCAGATCTGGTGTTGGTGGCCATCGTCTGAGGTCACACAACCTCAGGTGGCCCCCGGCGACCACCGGCGAGGGCCGCTTGGGGTCGGGCAACCCTCGATGAGGTTCTTGTGACCCTTGGGATCCCTCACAGAGGTTGCTCGACCTCGGTGAGAGCTGCCCGGGGTTGCACTACCTCAGGCATCCTTGCTTGGGTCATACGGGCCCTCATCGAGGTTGCGCGACCCCTGACCCCCGGTGAGGGCCCGTATGACCCAGGCAAGGGTGCTTGAGGTAGTGCAACCTCAAGCACCCTTACCTCAGGCATCGACGACTGGCTACAGGCTAGGGCCGATGAGGGCGTCATGGCACTCGCCGTCGTGACCCATCTCCCTCGCTTAGGTCGCGATGGCGAGGTCGGCCTCGCCTTGGCTGGGCGAGGCTCGACTTCGCCCAGATCTCGCGACGGCGAGTTCGGCCTCACCATGGCTGGGCGAGGCCTTGCCGTCGCGGCAACGAGCTGCCCTCCCCCAGGCGGCGAGGGCCGCGACACCCTCGCCGGCCCTGGCCTGTGGCTGGCGGTCGGCAGGTCGAGAAGAAGAAGAAGAACAAACCAAGAAAAATAAGAAATGGAAAAATTGTTCTCAGAATCAAGAAACTACTTTTTTTTGCTTTTTTATTCTGTTCTAAAACTGATTCTGGGAACAATTTTTTGCAAATTTGTGCCCGGGAACAAAAAATTAAACAAACGGATTTCTGTTCTCAAACTGATTATGGGAACAAAAGAATAGAAATTTTCACTGTTTGGCAACTTGCCAAACGGGCCCTAGGAGCCCATCTCGATTCTTTTGCCATCCCTTTACGATCTCGTTCAAGGTAGGAACCACTTGTCTTTTATCTTCAACTTGCAAAAGACATCGTGATAGAACCGAAGTTCAAAGTCGATATAACTGCTAGCCTCGCCCTAGCGGGCCGCGAGTGATGCCTCAATCTCTAGGTTCACCAAGCCGGTTATGGCATTTCTACACCCCATCATTTTGTGTTTCGATTACGGGTGTTCGTATGTGTCTAGCATGTCTAGCATGTTAATGGGTCGATTATGGACTATCTCATCTTGTCCTTGATTTATTTTGGCTTTTCACGGGTGGATATGTTGGTGCATGCTAGTCGTCCATGTCTTCCTAGTGTAGCATTTCGCAATATCGAACCATAGGAGTCATTCAGGGTATTTCCGTTGCCAAAAACGAGTACCGAGAGCCCGCTGTCCAGTGCCTTTAACTCACTGTACAGCAGACTCCGGATCCCGTTACGGCCCATTTAATGACCTTGGACGGTCTCGGGACGTCCCTTTAACTTGTCTAGGTCACCGAGAGCGATTCCGGGCTCATTTGGGCCGATCTAGGTACATCGGGCCTCTTTTACGTGGGTGTAAGTATCGGGGGTGGAATTGCATGTTTAGGTGTTATTATATTTTGATTAGTATAATCATGGTCTATTTGTGGTTGATCGTTCTATTTATTGTGATCCTAGTGATTAATCACGATGCCATTAGTGTATGTGAAAAAGTGGCACAAAAGGCAAGTAAATGAAAAAATTACAAAAAAAATTAGCATTCTGGAAAATATGGTGGTACCTTGGTGTTAAGTTATTATTTTAAGCAATGTTTTGGGTTTTTTATTAATATCGCATTATTCTAATCTAATGCATGATGGACCTAGCGTTTTTAGTATAGTATAGATGTTAGATCATGTCATTTTGCGTAATTAAAAAGAAAACAGTCGGCTAAAAGAAAAGATCAAAAGAGTGGTTAGTGTGGAGTTTAGTTTGGAATTGCATCCAGGGATAGCATTAATTTGCTGATTAGAATTTCATTGCTATTACTTAGCCAGTCGCTCTGTTTCGTCTAGTTCATGGTCGTTTTGTGTTATCTAGTTTGAGGTGTAGGCACAGTTAGTTTAGGGTACCGCTCACGGGGACCTGTCTCGGGGCACGATAACAAAGTCATGTGTATTCTTTGCTTGACACTTCATCGGGCTTACTTCCTTATACTTTACTTTTATAGTATTGACCGTGATTGTTTACTTATCCTTGATTGCACACTCACGCATGGACATCATTTAGTGGCATGGTTAATAAAATGGTTAAAGATTGCATGAATGTTAGGTAAATAAATTAATCAAGTTAGGGTACCGAAAAGACACTAATTAGCTAATTTTCAAGTCCTGATCTTAGATCTTTGGTTGAGTAGGAAGTGAGATATCCTCATGAATTTCACTTGCTCCTAGGCAGCCCGAATAGGTTTGTGGCAACTCCTTA